ATCTTCCTCTTGAAGATGATCACTTGGTGATCGAAATACATGTCGAGGTGTTAAAAATAACGATTTGGTTTTGGAAAAGAACTCCAGTAATATTCATACAAGAATAAATTACCTCAAACTCTAATTCAACTCTATGAACCCAAGAATTTGCAAGGCATGACAAAATAAATGACCTTTTTAATATAAAAACCAACTTCACAAAAACCGTACAAAATTTACTTTGCATATATTCCAGAAATGTATTAATCCCATTTAAAAAAATATAATTGCTAGGACTCTTTGATAGAAGTGGCAACGCCGCAATGCTGAAAATATTTTAAATCGATAGAACAGATAAGGAAATTTGAGAGGTGAAATTTTCAGAAAAATCATGCTTTGCGTTTTCCAGAAACGTCTAACCTACCATCGACCGTGGACCGTGGACCGCCGCTAAGACATATTTGATATCGTTTATGTGAATTGGGAACAATAGTGGACCTAGAATTGAGCCTTGGGTTACACCGTGCCTGTTGATTTTTGCATCTGAGAAAGTGCCGCCGCAAAATGTTACTTGTCTTCTATCTTCCAGGTAACTTGAGATCAGTTTCTAATTGAGACCATAGAATTCAAGTTTTTTCAGTGAGATTTCATGTGATACACAGGTCACAGAAAGTAATGAAACCTTTGAACCGAGATTAATTGAGCATTTCATTCACATTCATTTCAATTACTAATGTCACACACATCAGCAATGTCTTTCGGTGGTGTTGATGAAAATCTAATGAAACCTTAAAGTCCTGACTTATCAAGTTCTGAATTATTGTCTTACATCATGAATACTACTTCCAAACACGATAACTGCAATAGTCTTCTCGACGCGCATTTCACCAATCAAGTTGGGGTCTTCAGGAGATGAAACAGGATGATTCTTAACTCTGAATCTATTCTCTATTTATATCTAACAAGATTCACGTTCACTTACAGATACACATCAATGATTTCCAGTGGAAAGTCGCAAAAAATTTTCTCGTGAAAGTTCCCGCTAATTTTAACCAAGCTATTCATATAAAGATAAACAATGAGCTGAAATGAGACCTTTTTTGCTGTTCATAGTTCTCATGTCACACTTTGCTTTTTTCAGATTTTCAAGCGAAAATCTAGAGTCACATACCGATCTGAACAATTTCATGAACTTCATATCTTTGTAAAGAGTTCATTCTGAAATTAATTACTTTCTTCCTTTCTTTGGAAGATTTCCACATTTCTGTATAAAGATGGAGGAGTAGAAAGCTAAAACCTTTCTTTTCCAAAAATTTATATCTCCTAAAAATATTCCTCTTTCAATTCAAATTTCAAACAATTTTCATTCATTCTATAGTCTTTCTTCGCGGCGTGTTGACCGATATTATATTTTTCTTGTCTCCGAAGTCGGATATGTGCTAAGTGTTCTTTGAAACCGTTCTTACAGCTTAATTCGTATATCCCCGGCTTTTATTTTCCAACATCTTGTCTTTATAATGATTCTCCCTAAATATATGTTTCCAAATTAACTCATACACCTACTTTATTTGAAGAATACCCGTTGCTTTCAACTATGTCCCCGATAACATTTTTCTCAAAATCATACGTTTCTCAAGGAGAGTCTATGGACAACACAATTTTATTGTCTATGAGTATTGATATTGTGAATCATGCCCTAAAGAAAATATTGCCGGCCGCCACTGGTAGCCATAAAATAATTGTGACGTAGCTAAGAGCGTACGAAAGTATGATGTTCGCTGCCGCTCTAAATGTAGCGAGAATAATACTAACGACTTTGATGGAATTCAAATTTTCTACCGCATTCGATTACCATATTATAAACGCTAGATCGAGACAGTCAAGTGAAAGTTACAGTGCGGTACGCGAAGCGATCTAGTAGGGCGATAGACATTCGAATAATAGTTGAAGTTTTAGTTGAAGTCTTTGTTGTATTTAAAGTGAAATAAAGTTAAGTTGGATTATTGTTCAGTGTAGTCAATTATTGGTCAACCTACAGAAAAAAACGTAACATTTGGTGTCGGAAGTGGTATAATTGAATACAATCAGCCGTACCTTCATTCATTGGAAGATTTAGAATCTTCCCAAGTGAGTAAAGGAAAGGTACAGGGATATTTTCAAGAAGAATTTGGAAAAGTTTGTCAGGAAAGCAAGGAGGGTTTGGAAAAAGTAGTCAACAGACAGCGTATGTTGATTTTTTTTCCTGTGATTTGGATCGAATTTCACATGAGTATTTTGATTTATATACAATTCATTAGCGAAATTGAAGTGGAACCATTTCAATATGTTTCTCATACTTTTGTGTATGGGAAACGAATATTTATTCATAATAAATTTGTTCTAAATGAGCAAGAGAGTGTTAATGATCTGTATACTAATTGGAAGTTACTAGTGAATAAATATCCTTGATTTTCACTGATCTTATCCAAAATCGCTAAATATGCAAATGGTTGTTATTAAAAACATATAGTTCGGTGAAGAAAGAATACACATATGTCATCAATTTTTGCATCTTATCACGAACTAATGAAAACAAAATAACGTAGCCACTGCTCCGAAAACACCAACTTTGTAATGAAGAATCACTTTCATTTGGAATTCAATAAAATTGAAAACTCCTTATTACAATTTTGGGCCAATTTCATGCAATTCGTCAGTATTCTGTAAAACTAGTATATCTGGCAATTTGAATATTTTCAGTATGCGAAACACTACATGGAGCCAATATCAATTTGAAGTTAAAATGTATACTTTCAATATTAAATTCACTTATTATAAACCATGAAATGTCCATAGTTTATTCGTTGTGAAAACAACTATTTGTGTAGTATAGAAAAATTGAAACAATAAAAACTTTCCAATGTAAACAATACAAATTTTTGAACATATTTAACAATTGGTCTGAAAATCTAAGAAATTGCCGACAACTCTCTAGAGCTCAAATCCATGCTGAATTTTTAGGGAATCATTTGATACTTCTAAAAAATGTATAACTTTTACAGTCCTGAAGTAGAAAAGGAGTTTTAACCTCATTCCGTCAGTTGTGGTGCCCATGAAAATCTAAAAGTGAAAACAATAACCCTAACCAAACATCATACAAAAAAAAGAGGCAGGAAAATATGAAAAAAAGTCATAACTTACGTTAAAAATAAAATAAAAAACGGTCATTTATGTGGTCATGCCGTACGAATTAATTGTTTCCGGGGTGGTGAAAGTAAGATCAACCATACAAGAATACTTATGATGCACTGTTTGGAACCTTTGGTGTAGTGATAAATATGAAAAAAATTTCATAACTTACGTTAAAAATTAAATAAAAAAACGGTCATTTATGTGGTCATGCCGTACGAATTAATTGTTTCCGGGGTGGTAAAAGTAAGATCAACCATACAATAATACTTATGATGCACTGTTTGGAACCTTTGGTGTAGTAATAAATATTACTGGAGTTCTTTCCCAACACCAAAACGTTATTTTTAACACCTCGACACGTGTTTCGATCACTAAGTGATCATCTTCAAGAGGAAGATTAAACTTTCTCTAATCTTCCTCTTGAAAATGATCACTTGGTGATAGAAACACGTGTCGAGGTGTTAAAAATAACGATTTGGTTTTGGAAAAGAACTCCAGTAATATTCATACAAGAATAAATTACCTCAAACTCTAATTCAACTCTATGAACCCAAGAATTTGCAAGGCATGACAAAATAAATGACCTTTTTAATATAAAAACCAACTTCACAAAAACCGTACAAAATTTACTTTGCATATATAGTTCACTTTTTCAAAAATGAAAATTTTTTTCCTCATATTCCTGTTCCTACATATACATTTGGTAAGGAAAAATCTCAGTCTTAAATAATACCTAAATTTATGAAAGCCGTAGACGGCATGAGGCTGAAACTCAGGATTTTACTTCAGGATTATGAAGATCGTACATTTTGGAAAGGTATAGAATGACCCCCATGGGCTTGCGGTCTAGAGATTGTATAACTACCTCTCTTCGATGTACTAGGTGCAAGCCGCCGTCCAAACAAGCAATCATCCACTATTTTTACCATTCCTAACTGTTAAATCTCATGAACACACTGACGAGAGAGATTAAAATCAAATCAAAATATGCTTTATTACCCAAGATCTGAACATCTTGTTGACAAAGTCTAGTAAAGTAAAACGTGTATATGAGACATTAAATTAACATTAAATTAAAGTAACATTGAAATAAATTGTTTTTCTTTACTCGTAGGAGAAAAGGATGCTATATAAAATGTGGGAAAGTATTAATAATTGAATTGATGTGGTCTAAAAATATAGTCTTCACTTTCTTTCGAAATCAAAAATCATAATTAGGAGAACATTCTACATTATTGTAATATTTTAATAGTTTTTTCAGTTGTACCCACAAACTGGTGCGTACCCAACTTTTGTGCCTAATTTCAGTTATTTGCTACAAAAGGTATGTATTTTATTGATGACAGATGCATATTCTTTTGTACTATAGTTAGAATGTAAATCTTACCGCAATGATACAGCTGAGCACCACATCCTACTACAGTGAAGTAACTTAAATCCTCATCACCTTTATAACAACTGACAAAGAAAATAGTAGTATTTCCCAGGTTGAGTACGATCTCTCCTTGTTGTCCAGGAATAACGTTCCCTGTCGAATCCCGGGCAGGGGGATTCATGCAAACCAATCCCCGATGGAAAGACAGATTCAAAGACAGGTTACTTTGACCCTTCATACTCGAATCCCTACTTTTCAATTTCTTTCGGCTATCGATTGAGGAGTAATACAAATCTGTTGACTCATCTCCACTGTCGCTATCGGAATCTACAAAAATATTATACAAAGTTCATCTAAGGAATTAAAAATTGAGATCTTTATTGTTATTTTTCTGATTTTGTAATAATGTCGAGGAATATTATCAAGAATGCAATTAAAGGATAAACCTTTGGTTTTTGAGACATTGAAAGCTAATAAATTTGCCTGAGAGTTTCGAAATATCAGAGCAAATGACATTTTATAGATCATTAGTGTTGGTTTTGTACCATAGTATTGTAGTTTCGTCGGAAAATAACGTAAATTTACCCTCAATATCGATGGTAGTCAAGTCGTTCATAATAGAATTATTTAAGACTTGAAAAAGGCAGTAATTACAAGTACTGAAATATACAGGTCTTTCACAATGAGCGTTCGTTAGGAATATATGGAGAACGATTCAAAATAGAAACTTGTTGTTGTGGTGGGTTTTACAAAATGGCCTTCTAAACTAAAATATTTTCAACTTCCCGTCTCTTTCTGTTATACCGGAAGTTGAGGGCAACTTCCTTATTTCAAATGGAACACCCTGTATTTTATTACATTTTTGAATTTCTCAGCACATTTTAGGCCCACTTTGTATAACAATGTTGAAGTAGGCCAAAACTACAATTTCGATGTCCTCATTGTTTACGAGTGTTTTTTTTGTTGATAGACGAAAAAGATCCGAAATCACGGCAGTTTCTTAGAGGTCTTCTCAGAATATTTTTATTGGGTCTGTGTAGATTTGGAAATCTTTCTGCGAAAACACGACAAGTTCTGTCCATTATCTCATTGCATTCACCATAAATGATTATTAAATTCAGGAAATCTTCATTATTTTTGTAGTATCCAAAATTAATAGAATAGTGTATGGTTTCCATTTGAAAAAATCGTGTTGTATCAGTTTTCTCGACGTTATGTTTTAGGTGGAAATTTCGACCACTCTGTAAATTATTTTCGAAAATTCGATGGACCTGTTCATGACTTGATGCTTAAGGTGTGATTCTGTGAAATTTCAAATTTTCAGCTATTACTATTTATGAGTTATGTTTTTTTCGGAGTGGTGGTGTAACTGTCAAATTTGGGTATAGGCATTGTTATACAAAGTGGGCCTAAAATGTGCTGAGAAATTCAAAAATGTAATAAAACACAGGGTGTTCCATTTGAAATAAGGAAGTTGCCCTGAACTTCCGGTATAACGGAAAGAGGCCAGGAGTTGAAAATATTTTAGTTGAGAAGGCCATTTTTTTAAACCCACTACCACAAAAATTTCAAGTTTTTATTTTGATTCGTTCTCCATATATTCCTAACGAACGCTCGTCGTGAAAGACCCTAGTCGTGAAGTAAGCATTAAGACAAAATTACCAATGAGACAATAAAAATGAGATACAGGTTGACTATGAAATTACATGCACACTCACCATTGTTGAAACCTAAGCCACTTGTAAACGTGTCAAAGGCACCCTTCATAGCCGTTAATCCTTTATTCCCGTAATTGTAGTTTGAATAACCAGTGCGATATAAATTTGCTCTCGGTTTAGGCGCACTTGGCGTCCACAGTAACAAGTCATTATTGATCCTATTATACAGTTTTTCAAAACTATGTTTTGAAGTCAGCTGTGCTGTCACAATCGGCAAGACTATTTCAATCTGGAATTTTGAACTTGCAATTGCGGACTTCATGAAATTCTCTATTTCGTGCTTTTCTCCGGGTAGTAGTAGCTCACCTGAATCCTGTGTAACTGAAACACACAGGGGTCTTTACAAACCTAGAAGACAATACCTGATACAAAGAATATAAAATATATATAAAACAACATAAAAGTACTGTTGCAACCACGAAGTGTGTATCTCGGTGTGCCTCAAGGCTCAGTGCTTGGGACATTAGTGTTCGTAATATATTATGTTAATGAACTGCTTTTTGATATGGAAGAGGGTTATATAATAATGTTTGCGAATGACACCACCATTACTATATCTGACCATAATATAGAGCAACTTACTATCAAACTAGATGGTGTTCTAAATGAACTTAGTGCCTACTGTCAGAATAGCAAGCTAATACTGAATGTCTCTAATTGAGTATCTATTAATTTTCACTTTGGAAAAATATGCGATGATTTATGTACAATTGATATCCAAACATTAAATATAGTTAAATTCCTAGGTGCCTACTTTATATTCAATTCGGAATGGCAAGACACCTCCCAACCAATTTTCAAAAGTAAAGACTACTAAATATACCTTCTATTTTCATCATGAAATGCATTTTGTTTGCTAGGCGTAATTTGTCTTCATTCTTGACAAATGCTTCAAATCATAATCACAATCATTAACAAAAAGATTTTGGCCTCATTGAATATTGTCAAAAATTGATGAAAGTTTCACAAAATGGTTTAGACTTTCACGGTTGAGGTGAGCCGTGGATTTTTGGAATTTCTTCCTGACGTTTCGCTGGCGCGAGTGGCTAGCTTCTTCAGAGGTTTAACCATCATGGCTTGCTGTCCGATGACTACCTTTTAGGCTTCGTAAAGCGTATTTATGCCTTGTCAGGTAATCCGTTGTATTTGTACCTGCATTTGTACCTGTATTTGTACCTGTATTCGTACCTGCACTTGAACCTGGAACATTAATAATCTTGCTGCCTGTTGTCCTGTTCGTTATTCTCGAATTCCTTAAAATGGGGTTCCATATTTGATTGAGGTTTACCGCTTCTTTTTTTGTATTGAAATTATCTGTGTGTTTGTGGATCTCTATTGCCTCCCGTACCAGTCGGTATGGTATCCCTGGTTGGGGGCAATTAGTTCTATGTTTTCAAACAATATTATGTGATTTGTCTAAAGACAAAAAAGACCCATTATCAGCGGCAGGGGTCTATCGTATATCGTGCACTTGTGGAAAGGTATATATCGGAACCACCAAATGATCCATGGGAACAAGACTAAAAGAGCATAAAAGGAACTGCAGACTAGGCCAAACAGACAAGTCAGCTGTGGCAGAACACGCATTGAGTGAAAGAGACCACAGAATCTTGTTTGAAAACACAGAACTAATTGCTCCCAAGTAGGGATACCATAGCCGACTGGTACGGGAGGCAATAGAGATCCACAAACACACGGATAATTTCAACAGAAAAGAAGAAGCGGTGAAACTCAATCAAATATGGAACCCCATTTTAAGGAATTCGAGAATAACGAACAGGACAACAGGCAGCAAAATTGTTAATGTTCCAGGTTCAAATGCAGGTACGAATACAGGTACAAATACAACGGATTACCTGATAAGGCATAAATACGCTTTACGAAGCCTAAAAGGTAGTCATCTGACAGCAAGCCATGATGGTTAAACCTCTGAAGAAGCTAGCCACTCGCGCCAGCGAAACGTCAGGAAGAAATTCCAAAATTCCACGGCTTTCAAACTCAAAAAGCAATGACACTGATGAATGTTTGTTGGAATGCTCATATTGAGATGTTATCAAAAAATTGGACCAATTTCAGCAATATTATTTAAAAAAAACTATTCAATACAGTTTATTGAATGATTTTCACTATAAAAGGGTTTTACATAATCTTGAGGAAGCTAGTGCATAGCGAAACACGTGTCGCGGCATGGCGGAGAATGAAGGATAGAGGAAGACTGATTATGCTGAAATAAAGATTGTGAATTGCTACAAATTCAGGAAGATCTTTATTATTGGTAAATATTCAGTAGAACAAGGAAGAGACAATCATTTATTTGAAGAATTGAAATATTTCCAAATGAGTAAAGGGGAGATACAGGAATCTATTCAGGAAGAATTTGAAAAAGTATTTCAGGAAACAAAGGAGGAATTTGAAAAAGTATTCGATGAAAAGCTTGAGGGGAATGAATGAAAATTTGAAAAGGGGCTTGAAGAAATTGGAAGAAAATTCAAAGAGGTTTTCCGGGTACTTCGGAGCCGAAGAAAATCGCTGTGAAAAAATGCAAATCGTAAACAACATTGCTCCATTCCAGCAATAGTTTTATTAAGACTCCAAGCTTCGATGGAGAATCTCCATGATCAATGTGTCGCAGACAAAATGAAGCTGCTGCGGAAACTAATGGGTGGAAAAAGAAGGAGAAAGTGACAGCTTTTATACTGGAACTCCGAAGTTCTGCAAAATATTCCAGTGAAAAAGCAGAAAAATTATGAGGAAATCGTATCAGCTTTAAAGATCAGGTATGGTAGTGAGCACCTTCAATAAATTTTCCAAGCTCAACCGGAGGTGAGGACTCGTGGTCCATCCGAGAGTCTGCAGGAGTTTGGGACTTAAATATTACTGGAGTTTTTTCCCAACACCAAATCGTTATTTTTAACATCTCGACACGTGTTTCGATCACCAAGTGATCATCTTCAAAGAGGAAGNAATTAAATTTTTTGAAAAACATATATCGTTCGAGATTAGCGGACGCTCACCTAGAAAACACACTTGAATTTGCTGTTCCTATCGAGAAGCAAACTATAAAAAACTGGCTCAAGACCGTCAGTGTAGTTTATCACATTAATTTTATGTCTTGTGATTTATAATTCAGAATTTTATTTGAATCCAAAATAATATATAGGTAGCACCAAATTATAATCCGTTGTTTTTTCTGGACCTCGTTAAAATTTTTCCACAGTATCTGGACCCCACCCAAAACTACTTGCCGACCCCTGCTATACGTCAACCACCATACACCGTTAAGGACATGTTGGAGGAAGGAGTAATCGAATAATTGAGCAGCCCCTGATTGTCACCTATAGTGACTAAGACAGATCGATCAACAAGATTAGGCGTACACTACAGAAGGCTTAACGATATCACCAGAAAGGACAGTTACCTTTTCCCAGTATAGATTACACTTCGAACATCTTAGCTGAATCTAGGTGGTTATCAACATTAGATCTAAAAAGCGGATATTGGCAGGTTGCCGTTTGCTCCGAGGATAAAGAGAAAACTGACTTTTCTACCAGTATTAGTCTAAAGTTCAGTTGTAGTTTTTGTGTTGTATTAACAATGTGATACTGAAATGTATAGTGTGGTTAATTATTATCGAACCCACGGTGAAAATGTAATAATAGATACATTTGTTTGAAAATTTACACCAATCTTCCGGAATATGTGGTTTCAAAGCAATTGTATAGTTTTTGAAAAATACTGAAAGCACATATGTTAGAAAGTTATTATACACTATTGAATTTTTTTATTAATTGTTAGGTCTATGGTTTTTTATTATCGCCTCACATAATTATTATTTTATTCATCTGACAGTTTCTTATACAATTCTATGAATCTTACCTTTTTTACCACTTTTCAATTTTGAGAGGGGAATGTCGCTTTGATGCACCTTTTTTCTTGAGCCGAATGGTCCCGGGTCAGGATTGGTCTGTTCTTCAAACAGACCACGACAAGATGAAGCCATAGGTTCTGATTCAGGCTCCAAACAATCCTCTAAATCATTTGATTTTGTTGGAAAAATCTTTATGTTGAACCTAATCAAGGAATGAGATTTCAATGAAAGTATAATAATAAAAAGATTATAAGGGAGTCATTAACAGCACTTCTATTTGCCTACCTTGTTTCTAATGACAGGTCTTCCATTGAAGCAGAAGCTTTTTCATCGGCCTGAGTGGAAATGATATGTTCCATAACAGCATTGTCACTTTCTACATAGTAAATGTTCAGTTCTTTACTATGCCCGTTATATTCCTGAAAAGCTTGGTTTGGCTGAAAGGACGACTTCAGTTCCAAATCCAAGCAATCTAACATCAAGTAATCTTGTCTTACATTCTTTTTCCACCAAGGAGTTCTAATATTTTCATTTCGAAAGTCTGGGATAGGAAACCTATAAGAGTTTGAAATATCATTAGTGACTGATANAAAGTAGTATCTACAGACATTAAAACAATGGTGAAAACAGCGATAATCCAGAAATGGCAAAATCAGTGGCAAGTGTCCGGGGCAAAACTACGTACAATCAAATATGATGTGAAACCGTGGCCTGATGAAACAAACAACCGAAAACATCAAGTGCTCATCAATCGGCTACGCTTGGGTCATACCAAACTCACGCACAGTTATCTGTTAAATCACACCGAAGAGCCAATGTGTGACATATGTGAAACAAAACTGAGTGTTGAGCACATTTTCACCGATTGTCCAAAATACTGGGTGCAGCGAAACAACTTTAACTTTCCCCTAGATATCTACAACACTATTGGCAGAAACTGTAATATTCCAAATATTATCAAATTTCTTAAATGTATCGATATTATTACAAAATTATAAACATGTACTACTCACTAATAACCACTAGGTTGATGCGAATTTGCTTTTAAAAAAAATGACTACTTTATTTACTTTGATGAAAGAAATCATTTGCTCAAAAAATGAAATCATTGCACTGCTTTGCGGGTATCAAGATGTTATATGATAAATTTGTTTATATGGAATTGAGTTTGGATGAAGCGTCAGATCAAATAAATGTTAATGTTGTTAGGACAGTTGATGTCCTAACAACATCAACATTATATGATATCATTATCAGTTGCAATCATTTGAACATTTAATATTTGGCTATTGTAAAATATGGTAATCCCATAGCTTTCAAACAAATTTCTTCTTCATTATTATTCAAAAGCACATCAGAAGCAAATCTGAAAAACTGATGTCTCTAAACCCAATCATATGTCAAACCCGGGATAAAAATGTTCTCTCTCAAGAACTTCTTGATAACAAAACTTTTAGAGAGTCTAGTTCTATCTGCATGAGCCCAGTTCTCCCAGCGAAAAGAAACCAGACAAGCTTAAGGAACAGTGGCGATATGAAGATATGTACAGTGAAGCCAAAACATTTTCTTGGAATTGCTTCGTAAAGCAATAAATTTGGGGGGAATCAATTCATTTCGGAATGCTCAAACAATGGATTGTTCCTAAGTTTCTGGTTTATACAAATATATTAAGATATTGTCTCCTGTAACAACAAATATTGTATATGAACTAGTAATTCCCGAGTTGAATTTTTTGAGCATTTCCTAACACCATTTCACACGAGTCTATTTTTGACCAACGGTCAAATTGTGCGTAGTCTATCTAGAACATCTTTTTCATTTCTATCTGTTATATTCCAAGCAATTCTTTTATCTTAGTATGTCACAAGTCGATCTATTCAATGATCTTGCTTACATCTTGGATAATTTTTGTGATCACAACCGATTCTGAGCGCTCTTCACGAGATGTATCACTGACGGTCACATGACTGTGACTGAGTTTCCAAAACAAACTAATCTTTTCCAATGAGCTTCATTACCAAACGTCGGACGAGGCAATACTATCAATTCTTGTACAGTTAAACCTTTCATTAGATCCAGAAAATTATCTAACGAAAACCCTCAAGAGTGATATATATTTTGTCGATGTTGCTCATTTACTACTTTTGTAATAATTTTTCTATATTCTCTCTGAATAGACCAATTTGGTTTTTCGTGAATAAATTTTGAAATAATGTCGATATTTGGATAAAAATTGGTATTCGGGGACTTTTTAATACTATAAATTCGACTATACTTTTAGTTTGACTCTTAATTGTAGGGGGCGCCACCAATGAACTTCAGACATTTTTTCAAGAACAACTGATTTTTGTATACTTATTACAGGCTTCAAACTCAATTTTTCACTTTGTATCACGAAGTGAAAAATCAATCAACTCAGTGNACAGAGCTCTGGATGAAATCCAACAACTTCTGGGTATACCCCAGGCTCACCTGGAACCCGCTTAACAAGTGCGGGTTCCAGGTGAGCCTACGGTCTATTAGAAGACCGAGGTACTTGACCCGCGTCTGCCAGTCAATCTCCCTTCCAGAGATTCTCACTTTCATAGCCGGAGGAGATGTCGTTCTTCCCATGGTTATCGCCTGAGTTTTTTTCCGGGTTCACTCAGATCTTCCACTCAAGGTACCAGCGCTCGAGGTCGCCCAATGCACGTTGCATATAGACGATCCCGAGTTCCCAACCCATGGAAGACAAGAGGAGAGCCATGTCGTGGGCGTAGAGAGATACCTTCACATGCTCGGACCTCGGATTGCTGAGGTGTGTACGGTTTTTTGGTTTGGAAAAGTGTTTCAAGCTTTTGAGAAGCAGCCTATGCAATTCCAGCGACATGATTGTGCCAAGATATATTGGTGTCCATTTTACCACCCAACAAACTTATCGAAGCAGAAAGCGGAATTGTCTGTCCTGACATTATCATTTGTGATTCTGACACATTAATCTTTATGGAGAAAACCGATGCCTTGTTGGCACTGAATTGAACCTGGTTAGTTCCACCCTAATTCAAAATCACTTCTAGATCCTCATTAAGATATGCAACCTGGTGCTGCTGCTGAAGATGTGCATCCGCAGCTGATGTCCTGGAATCCAAATGGAATGACGAGACAAGTGTGATGTCGTCAGCCAAGTTGATATACAATAAAAAGAGGGTTGGAGACAATATGGATTCTTGGGCAACACCAGCGTTGATGGTAAAAGTATTCGAGCGATACCTACCGACGACCACTTTCATGAAGCTGGAGAGACATGCATAAGAATGATTCGACAAGCGATAGCATCGAAGTTTGGTCAGCAAACCCTCATGCCACACACGGTCGAAGCCTTTAGAAATATCAAACGCAGCAGATCTTGACTCTCTATATTTCTCGATGGCGTTATTCCAAATATGGTTGATATACAGAGTGGTCTAACGAAAAGTATGCACCTTGCTTTTCTCCTTTTTTTGTAACTTAACGCAAAAATGCTCGGACAGGTCAATTTTGCTTTTGAGGGGGACCCATTTTAGATGTATTTTTCTACCAGTGCCTTCAACCCCCTAGCGAGGGTGAGTAACAACCCTAAAATTTTGAATGGAAAGTGGGGTCGAGTTATATATCATTTGAAAGGGCACAAAATTATCTTTCCAATGATACCTAATTTCTTGTATTTCACTCAAACATGTAGGTATTATGAAGAAAAACAACTACAACCTATTAAGATATGCAACCTGGTGCTGCTGCTGAAGATGTGCATCCGCAGCTGATGTCCTGGAATCCAAATGGAATGACGAGACAAGTGTGATGTCGTTAGCCAAGTTGGTATACAATAAAAAGAGGGTTGGAGACAATATAGATCCCTGGGCAACACCAGCGTTGATGGTAAAAGTATTCGAGCGATACCTACCGACGGCCACTTTTAGGAAGCTGGAGAGACATGCACAAGAATGATTCGACAAGCGATAGCATCGAAGTTTGGCCAGCAAACACTCATGCCACACACGGTCAAAGCCTTTAAAAATATCAAGCGCAGCAGATCTTGACTCTCTATATTTCTCGATTGCGTTATTCCAAATATGGTTGATATACGATCGAAAGTCGCCTTGCAAATATTCAAAGATATAGTAGTTTACGGCTTTCTCAATGATTTTTGATATCACTGATAGTTATTTGGAAGACTTTTCTTTTCCCTTTTGGGAATCGGCTGAATGCAAGCCATCTTCCAACAAAGAAAAACTCCTTCCTTATATATATAGATAAGTACCATTCTGATCATTCCCATATTGATTTCAATTTAAGAGCCATCAGTAGACAGCTGTTTCAGCCTATTGGGAATCTTCAGTACCGGGCAGGCGGTTCTCGACTGAAGACCAAGAAAAGTATTTAATAAAAATAACTGCGTAAACGCGAGCGAGGCATAAGTGGAACCACCTATTGTGACATCCAAGTCAACTTGCCAAGTTTTATGTCAGTGTTGGTGGTTTGACCATATTGAACATTTCAACAATTATTTTGTTAATAGTATTAACCAAATAATCGAGAGCATTCAAAGTGATGAAGTGTGGTATAATTGCGATTCTAACCTTTACTTGCCTATAACTAAATTCAAAATGGTTTCATTAGGAGAATTACGTGATATTATTGCTTCATTAGACAATAAATGTAATACATATGAAATCCTAANTTCAAAGAGGAAGATTAAAACTGTTTTAATCTTCCTCTTTGAAGATGATCACTTGGTGATCTAAACACGTGTCGAGGTGGTTAAAATAACGATTTGGTGTTGGGAAAAAACTCCAGTAATATTCATTACTACACCAAAGGTTCCAAACAGTGCGTCATAAATTTGGGACTTAAGTTGAAAGTTTTTTCAAGGACAAAACACAAGCACTACAGGAAAACCATTGAGGCGCTCTAAGAGCAGTGCCTGTGTGAAAGTAGCGATTTACATTGAGTTTTGGTAAAACTGGCATATCCAGAAGCACCCACTAACTTCACCCACTGGATTAGTGTCCATAGTTTCATTGACGGGGATTGTAACACGGAGCTTCGCGCCAATAACGATGAGTTCTAGTGAGGGCCATCAGCGAAAACTAATGTCTAAGAGGTCTAGAGAAACTCCTTAAGAAATACTGAACGAATGGAACTGCATCTTGGGCAAGAGGGCGCTCTAAATGCTATAACTGCGGCAGGGAAGGACATTTAAGGCAGGACTGTCGATCACGTTCGGGATCCGAGGAGAGAAGAGACTGGCATTCGGAATCACCCGAAAGAGAGCGTCGAGGTTCGGAGAAAATAAATTCAGCCAGTGTTAGGGGGTGTACATTGGCTGCTGCATCCCAAGCCCCCAGGTATTTGATTTCCATGATAGGACGCAAAAGTAACGGCTTACTGCTCGATGGATATCTAAATGTTCACCAGTGCCTCTTCACTGTCGATACTAGAGCACTGCTGTCAGTAATGAAAGCCGAGTTTCCAAGACAAGCAGTTTGAAGAAGTTATCAGTAGAACCCCTTCTGGAAGCAGCCACTTGAGATAGACTGACAGTTAATGGAGAAACTGAAGTGAGACTTATGCTATAAGGTATTAGTGGTCAATATCGAATTTATTTTGTGACTAGACATCATGTCCCCCTATTGATTCGTGGTGGATATAGGAAACAAAACGTTGAAAGTTAGAAATGGGGAAATTCTGCTCGATGTGCCGTTTCAGCCTTATGATTGCTACAAGGTGGTTGTACTGAAAAACTCCAGAATCTTTCTCAAAACCGGGAGATTGCTGGACCTGGTGGCTTGAACACAGCATTGATGAAGCCATACCAAGTCTATACACCAACGGTCAGCAACAGGCGTACCGCGGTCCGCATACTATACCTTTAATTAAAATAATATTTTTGAGTCACATATAATTCAACTTAGTACTTATTTTACTTCAATAAGTTGCCTAGCTAACCTGTTTTTCAAGTACCTACAACTAATATGGTTTGATTGGTTTCCTATCTAGCCTGTGTGTGTGTTTGTGCGAATTAGTTGATGTTGCGGCAGAATGGACAGATGTGGTGCCAAGTTGTTGAATCTGTGAAAGGCATCACTTCAAATAGAGTATTCACTGAAGAATTTTGGGCCAAACATGAAAATTGCAAGAAACTAGCTATACATTTGGCCATTATGTTTGGCTCAACATACGTATGTGAAATATCTTTCTCAATATTGATTTTTTACTTTCCCAAATAACATGTTTCTGTATGGATAGAATAGAATATTGCTTTATTTTCAGGAATGACAATGTATTGGAAAATATAAGACTGATTTACTCTGAGCATGACATGCATTTATAGCTAATTTTTTATTCTCCCTGAATGATGAAAAGTTTTTCTTTTAATTTGATGTGAGTGGATGAAGAACTTTTTATGAACAGTAGAACTTTTTAATTGACAGTAAAATTTTGTGAAGTATCGATAATGAAGTTTTCTAATTGTGAATCCCTGAAATATTTTTGAATACTCTGAGAAAAAATCAAGGACTGTTTTCTGCAATGTCCGAAATATCAAATTCACATACCTTAATTTTAGAATTAAGTGAAGGCATGTAACTTTCAAATCTATCCTGGATTCTTCAGTCGTGATCGAATCCAGCGTTGGGTGACCTTTACCAGCAGCAAATGAATTATCCAGAGATTCATCTATAAAAAAGTCTGGGGGGTTCATTAAAGCACTCAATCTGTCGATTATCGAGATGTCAAAATCAACTTCGCATTTGCCAAGCGATACCCTGGAAAAATGGAAAAGCTAGTGGAAATATAACAATAACATTGATTAAGACTTACGAAATGTTGGTTTTAGGTCCGTTATTTTTCTGGGATCTTCTTTTCGTTCGATTGACCTTTCTGAAATGGACTTCGAAAGGTTTTTTTTGAACAATACTAAACGGAGATTTATGAAATTGAAGAAGGGGAATCGCTTGCAATTCACGATCGACCACCAAGTATTCAAATAAATCTAAGTTGCTTGCACCTAAGTCTGCATCCATGGATGAAGCAGAGGCGACATTTTTTTGTCTACCCTGAAACTCCACTCCAGTTGCCAACAACCTTGAGCAAACAAAATATAAATATGAACTGTAAATCAATCAATTAAAGTTATTCTATTCTAAGAAATAATATAAACATTTACAATACAAAAATACATATTAAAAGTGAAATATAGATTCACAACACAAATATCAACAAAAAAAAAAACGTTGGGGGCTACAAACTTAAAGACTTGAATTCTAGTAAAATACTTTTGAATATCAGATTGAATACCTTTATGGTGATAAAAAATTTACCTTGTACAGTTACGATCGCATTTACTGTTGATATTTTCTTTAAAGTTTATGAAGTCCTCGGTGGCATCATTAGAGGTGACAAAATCTTTGAATTGGTCAAAGAAATTTTCTGAAACTTGCTGCATCTGTTCAACGCTGGAAAGTACCAGAATCTTATTGTCATCGGCGGTTGGCACCAACAAATCTTCGTGTAGCAAGATTACCGCAAAAACATCAAAATTTACTGTTATATGAGAGACCTCAACTGAGGAGTCTTGTTCGTTACTAAAAGCTGTAAAAAAATAATGCCATAACAACCATATGCATCATATGATAATAATAATAAGAGATTTATTGTCTAGCAGAAATACATCCAAATACAAGACATTATTGTGAATACTTGAAGCTATCCGCATCTCAAAGGCCAAAAAAACCAGTACAGAGAAATAATGCCGCGGCGAACTAGTCCACGTTGACTGAAGAACTGGCGGTTCGTATTGGATAATTTTTACTAACCGGATTTTATGATTGGCTGAAGAGTCATAAAATTAAATTTGAAGTCATGTTACGGTGACGAATAGAACGTGGGGATGAGTATCGCCGTTGTGTCGTCAATGTTCAGTTCAGGAACTGATCGCGATTTGAGTGTTGAAATTCGATATTGGTGCAATTATAATTACTTGAAATTTAGCGTCCTTGGACAAATACAAAAAGAGATACCAGTCAATAAGATTCAGATGTATTTGAATATTGAAACATAGAGTGTATATTTCAATGTATATAAGAATCTACATCTCAAGTTTGGTTTCGAGGGAAACAAACTATTACAAGCAACATCAGATTTGACCGAAATTCCTTTCTCAACTGTACGTAAAATAGTCAAAAACCAACCTGATGAACGCAAGACGCGATGTGATACGGGATTACCAAAACCTTTAGATGTTCATCTAATGAAGTCATTGAAAAAAAATATACGACTGTTACAAAAGCAATGAGCTGCTGTGACAAAACTCTTCAGAATTGGATAAAGAAACTAGTATTCAGATTTAAAATAATAAACAAACGTCAAGCAGTTATGGAAAGCAGAAGAATAGTGGAATTGCGTAATAAATACTAACAAATAACTAAATATAAACAAGAACGACAAAATTTCTATTTGGATGAAACTTGGTATGACACTCACGACACAGTTGCGAAAGGGTGGACTAATGGTTCGAGAATGTGTACGCCTAACATGCCTGCAAACAAAGGATCGCGACTAATCATTGTGCATTGCGGAGGAAGTGAAGGATGGCTCCGAATTCTTATAAATTATGTGGAAAAAACTTGAGGACTGCAATGTTGACTATCATAAGAACATGGAAGCTAATATTTTTGAGGAATGGTTTGAAAACACATTGATGCCAAATTTGGATGCGAATAACATTGACGCCAAATTTGGATGCGAATAGTGTAATAATTCTTGACAACGCTTCCTATCATTTGTGATAGCTCATCAAAGTACCGGAAAAATTTCTAGAAAAGATGAAATACAAAGTTTTTTAATGGATAGCAATTTGTATTTTGAAGATAACTATACCAAAAACCAACTACTTGAAGTTTTACAGACAAAAACTTATTGCCAGAACTAATTAAGGTTAATATCAAGAGTAGATTCCACTACAAAGTAGCATCATAACAAAGTTTTGTTTTGATTTCTTGTAAGATGTTAACTCAGAAGAGATTTGGTAGTCATGAATATTCTTGGTTGAAATTGTGTGACGTTGATATGCTACATTGCAATGAACTTTTAGATGAGTAAATTCAATTTTATTTCAAGTCGTATTTTTGTGATTGTTAACTGTCGTTCAATTTAGAAAAAATATATACAGTGATTTGCACCTTTACCACACTATCTTGAATGAATATTATTCAAGATGCAGAAAGTTTGTTCCACTAATTTCTGAATGTGTGGAATAGATGTATAAAGTTATTTTACATAATATATTGAAAGGATCTTACATTTCCTTCTACTAGCTTGACTGTATTCTGTAGAGTAACTAAATATACTTGACATACTGGAATTCATACTCTCAGAAAATTCAGAAACAGCACTCTCGTACATCGTACTCATTGTACTTTTTATGGGTTGATATTCATCTTCTGTATCACTCCCATCTGAAAATATCACAAATAATATTAATTTCTAAAATCACAATGTAACTTGTACAAAAAAAAAAAGAAATTACCTGGACCTGCTGTTGACCATTTATGAATACCTTCTATGCCATATAACTTTCTAGGTTCTAATGGAGCCCTTAATAGTTTTTCCACCTTCAGAAAATCTGAATTTGACATTGGCTGAGCCTCATATCTGGATTTTGAGTCCCGAATACTGGAGAAAAAGTTCATTATAATTCACTATCTACACTATTTGAGAAAAGTTTCTGAGGGAAAGACTATTGACCCAATCAATTGAATATTATCACTAACTCTTTTGTTTAGCCTTCTTTCAAACCGAAATACATGGAATTTCTCACATATCTGAACTCTTACAACTTAAAAATACAAAACACAATGATTCGGGAAACCCAAGAAACAATCGCCTTCGCAAATGTACTAGAAAACAGACATGAGGATGAAATATTGGGTTAAAAAGTGTACTCGTAAGCAACATATACAGATCAACAAAAAACCCAACCAACAGTCACAACAACCGAGAGGATAATCTGTTTTCCCGTTAACCAGTTGTTGCTCCCCTACGAACGACAACTCTCAGAAGTCAAAAGTTATGCGAGCTAAGGATTAACGAGGGCTTATCTTTTAACTCTTTAGGCAACCACGGTTCATAGAATAAACCACCATGTACCACCACCTTTGGTGGCGGTGGTAAATAAAGTGTACCACCTTCTCAACAGAGCTATTGCTCTGGTTGCAGTGATTCATTTTCAGAACCACTGTAGTTTTGCCATCTTGTGCACGGTAGACGCAACACACAATAGTTGGTTACAGATTTGGTCGCGTGTTGCAGCCATTAACCTCAAAACTTTGTACGTTCAACTGATGTGCGTTAACCAGTTGTCGCTCCCCTACGAACGACAACTCTCAGAACTCAAAACTTGTGCGAGCTAAGGATTAACGAGGTCTTACTTTTTAACGTGTGATTTCTCAACATTATTTGAGAAAGCGCAAACCATATGCATTTCAAAAATGCGTGTCCAAAGAAAATGAGTAGAGCAAAGTTGAAGTCGAATAGACAATTCGACCTAGGTTATTGCCAGGCAGTAATCAAGTATTTATTCATCAAAAATGTCTATACATAAATAGAATAGCTACTCTGCATTATATAAATCTATCAGGCTAGTCACAAAATAGCTGTAATTAGACATAAGTTAAAAAATAATCATAATATATACAATGTTGTGAAAGCAATGAAGATAAAACCATTGTTTATCAATGACAAATAGTCAAAATAGTACACATATGTTTTGAACATCATAAATTAAAACTTGAAATTACTATAAAAGCTATGTATATTATTAGATGCCTTATATTTTGTATCAAAGAGTGTTACCGAAGAAGGCATTTTGGGTTTCTATTTTTCATGAGTACTTGCTCCGAAAGGATTTTTGTCAGTTTGTATGTGGAAGGAACTTCTGTGCATGATCTGCATATCTTTATATTTTGTTGTAGTTATATTCGTTCGTTCGGAAACTTCCCACATTTTTTGTTCAATGATGGAGAAGAGACAAAAAGCTTCCCCCTCCCCCAAAATTACTGAACATGAATTTTATACAGTGTGACACACTTAAGATGAAGATACCCCTGTGTTATGAAAAAAGATTTTATGACAGCCTTAAACCCAGCCTACTGCGATCCACTGAAAAGAGCAAATTCTCGATATTTTGCTTCGCGTTGATGATACCGAAATAACTTATTCGAAAAATTTGCTTGGAAATAGATTTTGACCCTTCATACCAAATTTCAATGCAAAATTCAAATTTCATATTCAGGTCCGATTTTCAATTAATGGTTCTAAAAAGCTACTAAAATAATAAATTCGTTATAATGTATGAATAAGAATGAAAAAAGGTAATATTTATTATGAATTCATTTATTTCATTAATTTTGACTATTTTATCATTTCTGTAGCTACTTATTGAGAGCCATTAAAATTGAAATTGAATATGAAAATTACAAACAAATTCAAATTTCGAATTTTGAGCTGAAATTCGGTTTGTAGGGTCAAAATCGATTTCTAAGCAACTTACAACAGTAAGTTAGGGCTTTGGTAATAATTTTATAATGTTGTTCTATCATCATACAAAATAAATAGATAAGTATTTCATTAGTTCGGATTGTTGACATTGTCAACCACCTTCAAACAAACAAAGATAAGTATTATTCTGATCACTCCCATATTGATTTCAATTTGAGAGCCACCGGTAGACATCTGTTTCAGCCAATTGGGCATCGTCAGTACCGGGCGGGCGATCCTCTATTGAAGACAAAATGTGAATAACCAAGAAAAGTACTTGATAAAAATAATTGCGTAAATGCAAGCCAGACATAAGTGAAAGCACCCATTGGTGCTAGAAAGAAATCCCATATTCTTCCAGTGATATTTCTACCCAATAGATACGACTGAAATCATTCATAAGTAACCCTCTCAATATCACAGTAGTAATGTTTCTTGAGCAGAATGTCATGGTTTACGCAGTCGAAAGGTTTGAAATAATCGGAAAAGACTTTTGTGGTGACATCCCGTCTATTAATGTGCAATGTTGATGCAGTACTAGGTGGTAGAAAATATGTTGATTACGTGTTCAAAGTATTAGTTCTCCTATTCAAAACAAACTTTAACAATTCAATAAAAAAATCTACAATCCAAATTGCTGAATAAATTACCTTAAATCTTCACCATTCAGAAAAGCATTAACGATTTCCAACAGTATATGGACTTGACGTGGAGATAAGAATAAGGCTAAATCTTTTAAATCGGTATCCACTATTATATTTGGTCCAACTGCTTGCAGCGTATGCTTCAACCCTACTTTGATCTGAAATTAGACCTGTTATGCAACATTTGAAAAAGCAAAACAAATATAAATAGTATGACATATTACACATTTGTGTTCAACACGTTACCATCAATAAGTTATTGAGGAAATACACACAAGATAACAAAATCCTATATATTTGTGTGTGTGTGTGTTTCGTTCCGCGGTCAGTAGTATGCTGTCGTTGAGTTCGAGTTGAACCGCGTTTTGTGTTCGCCGTTTCGACTCCGATTTTGGAGACATTTCCCAGAAATTGATGTGACTTGATACCGGGGCCTTAATATACTTCCCCTGGTTTTGAGCAACAATACATAAGACATAATAGTGGGTAGTGGGATAGCATAACTGATTGGTTTCATATGTATGTTTGTATATGATTATGGTGGTATTTGGCTGTACGTGAATGGTATCAATATATGTATTTTCTTTCGGGCTATAAGTGTATATTGGGATAGCATTCTTATTGGTTCATATGTAGGATTGTATATGATTATTATGGTATTTGGCTATACTTGAATGGTTTTCTTTTAGCAAAACAATGGAAAATATAACTNTTGGAATTGCTTCGTAAAGCAATAAATTTGGTGGGAATCAATTCATTTCGGAATGCTCAAACAATGGATTGTTCCTAAGTTTCTGGTTTATACAAATATATTAAGATATTGTCTCCTGTAACAACAAATATTGTATATGAACCAGTAAATCTCGAGTTGAATTTTTTGAGCATTTTCTAACACCATTTCACACGAGTCAAATTGTGCGTAGTCTATCTAGAACATATTTTTCATATCTAAATATTCATGTATCTCAGTCTGTTATATTCCAAGCAATGCTTTTATCTCAGTATGTCACAAGTCGATATATTCAATGATCTTGCTTACATCTTGGATAATTTTTGTGATCACAACCGATTCTGAGCGCTCTTCACGAGATGTATCACTGACGGTCACATGACTGTGACTGAGTTTCCAAAACAAACTAATCTTTTCCAATGAGCTTCATTACCAAACGTCGGACGAGGCAATACTATCAATTCTTGTACAGTTAAACCTTTCATTAGATCCAGAAAATTATCTAACGAAAACCCTCAAGAGTGATATATATTTTGTCGATGTTGCTCATTTACTACTTTTGTAATAATTTTTCTATATTCTCTCTGAATAGACCAATTTGGTTTTTCGTGAATAAATTTTGAAATAATGTCGATATTTGGATAAAAATTGGTATTCGGGGACTTTTTAATACTATAAATTCGACTATACTTTTAGTTTGACTCTTAATTGTAGGGGGCGCCACCAATGAACTTCAGACATTTTTTCAAGAACAACTGATTTTTGTATACTTATTACAGGCTTCAAACTCAATTTTTCACTTTGTATCACGAAGTGAAAAATCAATCAACTCAGCGGTAAAAAATTTTTTCGAGGGAAACGTCGAGAAAAAGTTATAAGGCACATGTAGTGTTTGGCGAGGCAGCATAATTTGTAAAAAGAATACAGGGCCGTATTTTGAAGTAAATTATGAGGATGGTAACAAGTAAACGAAATGAAAAAATAAAATGAATACATATTTTAGTCTTCATTTACTTCATCCAAACATATCCATACATTTTTCTCATATTCTGTACAATGAAGATTCTAAAGCAGAAAAATCAAAATCAACGATCTCAATTTTTTTCGAACATTTCGATAGTCTGGACTTCTCAACATGATTCCTTTGCACAATGGAAAGTACATTTTTGGTCTGTTTTGACCAACATTATCTTCTATCGTCAGTGAGATAGCAATATTCGTGCAGTTAAATTTTCTCTACCAAGTTTATATTTCGATAATGTCTTCTATAAACGAGCAGAAAGGAATGTTTTATCTGAAACAACTATGTAGTCTAATTATATTGAGTTACACAAAATCACTTTTCATTTCTCATTTTTTGAATTTTAATAATCAAATAAATAGGTATATTTTTATGGACAAAACACAAGCACTACATAAAAAAACTCCTCTAAGAGCAGTGCCTGTACGGAAGTAGCGATTCACATTGGATCTGAATCGTTGGAGATTGAATTCATTTGAAAAAACGTTCTCAGAAAGAGTTCTCAAAATGAAAGAGTTCATAAACAGTGAAGTTCGAGGTGTACTGAGTTGAACCTCAGAACAATGAGCAGCCACAGTCCGTCGCATATTTCTGATTTATAACGCTCTAGGTGGAATCAAATGTGCCAAGTCACTTGAACACTTCCCGTGAAAGTATTTATAGAAGACAGACAAATCTCCAACCTTTCTTTAATGTTCCAAACTATTGACGTTGCAAGTGATGTTCGTTTCTACAATCAGATGGATGGCTCTTTTCTGGATGAAATCCAACAACTTCTGGGTATACCTAGGGGCGGAGCTCCATACATGAAAACAACTCCAAAACAGGTCTGATCTGAGCTTTATAAAGCATCAAAATTTGCTGAGGTGTTGATAGTCATCATCGTTTCTTGCAGGTTGGAGCCTTGCTCCCTTACCCTTTGGGCTGATTTTCATCCATCCATACTGCCCTTCGCGGTGTACCCCTACCTGGCTGGGGTGAGATGGATGAAGATATTATTCATCTGTTAACGGAGGACATAGGGGCCTCATTCGACAGGGGTCGTCTACAGCGTAATCTATAACCTCCCTGACTAACGGATTGTCGTGAGTTTCAGCGCAATCTAAAACTCGCCGATTCCTCGACTGGATGGACTGCTGAATGGAAGGCAGCTTCAAATCTCATCAACAGCGTGAGACCACAACGAATTGCCATTCTTAGACGTTTTTTCTTTTTCAAAGTAGAATATTTAGGTTGGTATAAANGCCTATGAACAGCTCCATTTAAAAAAATGTTCTCTCATCGGAAAAGTATGTGTTGAATGATAGGTGCGGATCATCAATTAGTAACTGGCCCAGTTGTTCACATTGAGTTCCTGTACTAATTCAATTTTGTACGGATGAAATTTATAGGCTTTTAATATCCGTATTATGGGCGAACTGGAGATACCTGAGGCTGCAGTAAGCTGACGGATACTTTGAGTATGATCCAATTCAACATCAACCAACAACAACAGCAACCGAACTGAATCAATGAACGTTTGCCTAAAGTCTTTTTGTACACTTATCTGCTATTGTTATTTGAACCAAAAAACGCACGAGAGAAATTGAGGAATGTAGTTGTGATAAAAATGCCGTTTTTTCCGCATTTTCATTAACAACAAAAATATCGAGTAAATGTTCTTGCTTTTTTATAACTATTCAAGTAAATACAACAAATTAGGTATCATTGGAAAGAGAATTTTGTGCCCTTCCAAATGATATATCACTCGACCCCATTTTCCATTTAAAATTTTAGGGTTGTTACTCACCCTCGCTAGGGGGTTGAAGGCACAGGTAGAAAAATACATCTAAAATGTGTCCCCCTCAAAAGCAAAATTGACCTGTCCGAGCATTTTTGCGTTAAGTTACAAAAAAGGAGAAAAGCAAGGTGCATACTTTTCGTTTGACCACTCGATACGATCAAAAGTCGCCTTCCAAATATTCAAAGATATAGTAGTTTACGGCTTTCTCAATTATTTTTGATATCACTGATAGCAAAGCGACTGGTCTATAGTTATTTGGAAAACTTTTCTTTTCCCTTTTGGGAATAGGCTGAATGCGAGCCATCTTCCAACAAAGAGGAAAAACTCCTTCCTTGTATATATATATATTGATAAGTACCATTCTGATCATTCCCATATTGATTTCAATTCAAGAGCCATCGGTAGACAGCTGTTTCAGCCTATTGGGAATCGTCAGTACCGGGCAGGCGGTCCTCGACTGAAGACCAAGAAAAATATTTAATAAAAATAACTGCGTAAACGCGAGCGAGACATAAGTAGAACCACCCATTGGTGTGACATCCAAGTCAACTTGCAAGTTTTTATGTCAGTGTTGGTGGTTTGACCATTTTGAACATTTCAACAATTATTTTGTTAATAGTATTGACCAGATAATCGAGAGCATTCAAAGTGATGAAGTGTGGTATAATTGCGATTCTAACCTTTACTTGCCTATAACTAAATTCAAAATGGTTCCATTAGGAGA